TTTTTTTTTTTTTATCTAAAAAGCACGAATTGATGATAAATATAAAGTAAAAAAATAACATTAGTTTAGACCAACAGTGTGTATTAATAATTATCATATTTATGTGTTATCCCAGGATTACAAATAGATCCTTAAAAGGTATGTTGATCACTTGGCTAACTAAATAACACAATCAATTTGTAGGAGGGGGTGGAGTATAATATTAAGATTTAAGGTTATGAAATCCAAACCGGTTTAGTGGTTCAATGGTTCACTGGTTCGGTTCAACCACTGATTCGACCAGTCTGGTCGGATCAGTGGTTGAATCGATTTAATTAATATATAATTATTCATTTATTTTATATGCATAATAATAATTGTATATATTTTAATCACAATCTTTTTAGTGTATAATAACATTTCTTTAAATTAAAGAGTTCAATAATCAATATCTTAATTGTATTTTACTATAAGTTTGTAACTTGTATTTTATTTTTTAATTCGAATTTTATTTTATTTTTCTTTTCAGTTTTATTGTGTAAAGAGTAAAATATTAAAAATAAATTTGAGCTTCATAGTCATTACAAAGACGAAAAAAAAAAAAAAGGAGAAAACATTTAAAAATGAGAAAACTAAAAGATCGTTGGTGTAGGAAATTGGATACGGTACCTTGCAAATAAACAGCAACATTACAACCACTACACCGCACGCACAATCGATCTCTTTTGGTTAGAGATTATTCACTTTCCACTAAAAAAGCTCCAAAACTGTAAACCGCCCAACCGGATGAACCGCGACCGGTTTTTCCGTTTTTAACCAGTTCGAGCGGTTTTTGGGTCCGACGTGTTAGGTGTGCAAACTCAATCCCACATCAGAAAATTAATGGGCTCAAGTTTAATATATAAGCTTAGTGACGCCGGCTCATTCTTCAACAGGCACGCGGTCAGAGCCGTGGCTCCTCTCCCTCTATTGCCAATTGGTTTTAGAGTGGAACCCCATTTGGACTTGTATGTTGGGCTTAATGGAGAACTGAGTTTTGAATTGTTGATCCTAACAATTGGTATCAGAGCCACGGTTGGTAGCCTAGTTACGATGTGGATGACGTGGCATGTTCCCCGTGGAGCCGGAAGGGCCGGTAGATCTGTGTGCCTTGTGTCGAAAGTCTTCCTGGCGAATGAGTGTGGTCAGGCGGCGGGTTCCGTGGGTGATAACGGCGGTACAAGATGGTCGGATCGTATGAATTTCGTTTAAGGG